ACTAAGGCACATAAACTCATAACATAGATCTCAAATTCAAAGAGCTCACGTCCCTCGTCGAGTCTACTAGAGAAGAAAGACTCAAACTTGACGATAACATGGAAGAGAAATCAGTTCTAAAGGCGCAGCTCTCGGTGGCATGGGCCCAACTAGATACCCACAAAGTAGAAGATATAGTTGAGGAAATAGGAGCCAAATATTGGACATTTAAAATAACCATACCAGCAGAGGAAACAGAACATACCCAATGGCGCTCGATCACCCAAAGGCCAGCGAGGCAGACAAGGGAACTTCCAGTACTAAGACAGCCGCCAGCACCAGACCTACCTATCCGCGTTCAAGGCCGTCCAAGGCAAAATTGGCAGTCCTTTTCAGGACTGCCTAATCCACTTCCACGTACCAAAACGATCTGGACCAGTGCCAAGCAGCATAAGACAGACTTCAGCAAAAGCCCAGCCAATAGAGCAAGCCCAGAAACCAAGCCGCCATCTCTGAGGAAAAGCCAGGTTATCAAAAACGGAAAAAGCGAGGACAAGCTCCAGGACAGATAAATTCCAGAGAAATATGCCTCAGTCATGACTAACCTGCGTTCTTTTATCACTATTGCTTTCAGTCTGATGCCCGCTGAGTTGTCTCTGACTGCTAAAAATCTCGCTTTCACCACGTTTAAGAAAACCAGCGTTACATCTCATCGGAATTTTCTACAACGATGTTTACGTTTAAAAATTATCCCGAAAGGTTTCGCCACCAAATTCCATCCTTCAGTAGGCCCGCCATCCTTGAACTACAGCCAACCATTGGCCAGAATCGAGGAGAAATGCGCTTATCTTCGCATGCGTTGCATACTAGATGCACACGAACGCCACCTCCAACAACTGGGCGACCAGATTGAAATTCTGGTCTACAATCTACGAAGGCTCTTAACCAACAACAGGTTGGCCTATTTGATCATCCGCTCTACTATTCACACCACTAATCAGGAGTGGTATTCTTTCCTTACCAATACAAAGAAGAATAAAATGAACTGCCTCCGGCCCCCACAATCCTTTGGAGCACCTGCTAATCCCGCCTTAGCCCAAAACCTTGTTGTTTGCATCCCACCCGACCTACCCCTCTCCGATGATGAACGCTCACTCCTTAGTAAAGGCTTGAAATTTTGTCCCTCTAAGACCACGTGCTGACAAATACACTCTCCTCCAGGATGCACACTCCTTCTATCGCCGTCTACGCCTGAAACATCATCACTGGGGTCAACCACCCGCCCCCCACTGGGCCTATTGACGAAACTACATTTCTTTCAACGGCCAACAAATCCCGTTCACAGTGGACTCCTCCTGCTGGTAAATCTAAGGCGCTTGATCTATACATCAGCCACACGCTTCATACTATCCAACAGTTGGAACAAAGGCCTTTACCTAAATCCAACCTCTCCAAAGGTGAATGGCGGGCTCTCTCCTCCCTCAGAAAGAGGAACGATATTGTTATAAAGTCAGCTGACAAAGGGGGCGCTGTAGTGGTTTGGAGGAAGGATCTTTATATTGAGGAAGCTAGTACCCAACTCAGAAACCCCGTTTTCTATTCCGCAAGAAGGGACGACCCCACAGTCTCCAACAATAAGAAAGTCAAGGACACGTTACAATCATTTATTTCACAGGGTACTCTTCCTAAGCAGGCCAACAATATGCGTGTTTTTGACAGCCAACTTGGCAAACCGTGTATGTACTTGCTGCCTAAGATCCATAAGCCTAACAACCCTGGACGTCCCATTGTATCTGCATGCTCCTGTCCCACGGTGTATCTTTCTGAATTTTTTAGATAGTATTTTCCAACCAATTGTCACCAGTCTCCCTTCATTTGTCAAGGACACCAACCATGCCCTCAACATTTTCGAATCCATCAGACTACTTCCCGGTAAAACCTATCATCTTTTCCTGATAGACGTATGCTCCCTCTATACGTCTATCCCTCACTCTGATGGTCTTAGAGCACTCCAGTTCTTTTTGGACAGAAGGTCCAACCGATCATCCCTACTTCAGTTCTTGTACGCCTTGCCGAACTGGTACTGACCCTCAACTCTTTTGAGTTTAATGGTGAGTATTTTGACCAGATCAGTGGGGTTGCGATGGGCACCAAGATGGGTCCTAGTTACGCGTGCCTCTTTATGGGCCACCTGGAATACGAGGTCAGTTTATCATACCCGGGCAAGTTTCCGGAGGTGTATAGGAGATACATAGATGATGGCGTTGGTATCACCGAAATGTCCATGGTTGAGCTTGACCAATTTATTACTTACATCAACAATTTCAATCCGGCTATCAAATTCACCTCACTGATCTCCACCACTTCAGTTAACTTTCTTGACATCACGATTAGCATCGATTTCCCGTGTCTGAAAACCACAGCCTACTACAAACCCACGGATTCTCACAATTATCTCCTCTATACGTCTTCTCACCCACTACCGTGTAAAAATTCTATTCCATATTCACAGCTCCTTCGATTGCGCAGGTTGTGCTCTGACGATTCTGACTTCTTTGATAAATCAGTTGAACTTCTTGAATTCTTCCGTGCCCGTTTCTATCCGGAACACATTCTACAAGGGGCTCTAAACAAAGTTTTAGCAATCACCAGGAGAGAAGCTTTTCCTACCAAACGTAACTCCACCAATGAGGGACCTAAATTGATCTTGACTTTTCACCCTAACAATGTGGTTGCTTCCAAAGTATTCTTTCGTCATTTGGACATCCTCCGCTCTGATCTGGACACCAGTATTATCTTTAGTGAGAAACCTAGATTAGTTTACAGACGAGATCGCAACCTTAAAGACATACTTGTCCGAAGCCGACTCCCACCGATCCATACAGCACTTCCTCTTGGGACTACTCAGTGCTCACGCAGCACCTGCAAAACATGTCCTTTCGTTGTCCAGACTTCTTCGGTCAGTTTCCCTAATGGTTCTTTTCAAATTAGGGAACCTTTTACTTGCGAATCCCGCAACGTAATTTATGCAATTATCTGCAAACGATGCAGCATGGCATACATTGGGGAGACTGGCAGGAAGCTAGCTGATCGTTTCCGGGAACACCTCTCTGATATCGACAAGAAGACACTCAAACCAATCCCTCTTCATTTTAATAGCCCTGACCACAGCGGTAAAGATGACATATCTGTCACAGCATTAAAATCTTGCTCTGGCGATCATACTACCCGCCTCGCTTTGGAAAATCGCCTTATCCACAGCCTTGGCGTTCTTAGTCCAAGAGGTATCAATATCCAACATACCTTCATCTAAATAGTTCTAATCTTATTACATTTTAAATGTAAATTATTTTATTTTATTTCATATTATTACCATATTCTATTTCTTATCAATATCATTTATGTATCATTAACACTTGCATTTCTTTTAATCCCAGTATTGTGACTATATTTTTTAGCCATCGTTTATTTTATTTTATTTCATTTATTCCGCATCAATTTTTTTAAACGTCGCTCACGTCACCCCTTAGAGATCTACATACTCTCCATTCCTCGTTTGTGTAGTCCACTTCTGTTTGAAAAAGGCCGCCCGGTCGAAACGTTACGTTGTGTTGTTTTGTGCACGTTTTCCTTTTTCCTATTTTGTTGAGCTTTTTAGTCATATTTCTCTGGAATTCATTGTATTAGCTTGACTGCAGTCACCCCCATAGTTTCACCATACCTGGAAATCAGCTCATCTTGCGATGCAAGAATGGCAGAACTAACACTGACCCATAATTATGTGTGTTATGATAGCCGTGTAAGCAGTAGAGACTGCACTGATAGGTCGTTCCCCGTGTGGGTTCCTGGACCCATTGCCATTGTGGGGCAAACAAGAATAAACAAACTGCCTCCCCAACAAGCATGTCGTAGGATTCAACTAATTAGGGGCATCCTTCCAAGTCTGAGGGCATCTGCCTGAGAAACAGGGAACCAGTAGTCTGCATACAAATAGGCCAAGTTTATAAAAGCGACGTGCTAGCAATTCTTATGTTCAGGAACAATGTCTAAAGTCCAAAGGTGGACGAACTACCAAAATTTCCCGCGGGAGTTTACAGCCGGTCAACGCGAAGAGCTTGTGCATATACAGGAATGAGTGAGGTTTCAAGTAGACTTGCTGTATGTGCGAGTATACATGACCACGGGCTCACGATCTATAGGGCATTATTCAGCTATCCTCCGAATAACGGGCACATATTATGGCGACCGCAAAAACACCCTAACAGAGCCTCAGTCACGTGTCAATTGCGCACTTTCGGCGACTTAATTTGCGAACTTCCGGCGACTACCGCCACCGCCGAGAGTATGTCAAACGCTGCTCACGCGGCGTGGATTGGGACTAAACTAGATGGCTGGAAGTCACGAGCAGCAGCTTCCGCATCTCCTGCAGCTTTGCTCGTGAGTCCCAGCCATCTAGTTTAACCCCAATCGACGCCGCGTGTGACATACTCTCGGCGGTGGCGGTAGTCGCCGGAAGTTCGCAAATTAAGTCGCCGGAAGTTCACAAATTACATGTGACTGAGGCTCTGTTTTTGGCCGCCATAATATGTGCCCGTTATTCGGAGAATAGCCCATTATTCCTTTAAGCACCACGACAGAGAGCGAGAGAGGAGAGGAGTGGTCGGGACCGAAAAGTAAAAATTTAAAAATACATAGTCAAAAGCGTGTGTGAGAGACCGACACGGTGATAGAAATATGATGGTGGATAAACAGGGCGGCAGAAGGACAGATAAAAGGATAGTAACGGAGACAGACGAATGGATAGAAGAGAAATAAACAAACAGGTTAGTTGCATATCTTTTACAGGACGTTGCAGAACCAACCCCAACAGCTCCTGGCTGTTGCGCGGTTTTTCTAGGCAAATTTACGTCCAGTAGTTTGCCATTGCTTTCCGGACTGTCGGCTTTCTTGATATCACCGTCAAAACCAACGCAAGGCGCATAGCCCGCAGCTGAGATCGAACCTGGCATCTAAACAGACAGACACATTTTTTAAATGTATTTAACCAAAAAAAGAAGTCTGTCTCTTGTGATCCTAGGTGTGTCCGGTGAAGCCATGAAGTTGTCAATACTTGTATGTGGCTAAACGTTTCCCGCCATGGTAATAAGAACTAGTCACGCACTTGGGTTCACTGATCGTATTAAATGTCTTGCCAGTCTCGTGTCTGTCCGCTTATCTTGTATGTCATTTTATTTTTATCTATTTTCTTTCTTTCTCTCCCACTCTCTCTCTCTCTCTCTCTCTCTTTCTCTCTCTCTCTTTCTCTCTCTCTCTCTCTCTCTCTCTCTCTCTCTCTCTCTCTCTCTCTCTCTCAGCGTGAGCATCAGCGTATGTGTGTGTGTCGGCGATTAGGTGTGTTTGTGTGTCTGCGAGTGTGTTTGTGTGCGTCTATCTGCGTCTTTGTGCGTGTTTCTATGTGTGATTGTGCGTGTATCTGTGTGTGTGTGTGTGGGTTTTTGTGTGTGACGCATGTATGTGTCTGTGTGTGTTTGTGTCTCTGCGCGTAAATCTGTGTGTGTCTGCGTTTGTTGTGTGGGTGTGCATGTGTGTATCTGTATGTATGTATGTGTGTGGATTGTGCGTGTCTGTGTGGGTAGGTAGGTATGTATGTGGGTGAATGGTGGTATGTTTATGTGTGTGTGTGAAGGTATGTGGTTGTATGTGGGTGCATATATGCGTGTTTAAGTGAGTGTGTGTGTGTATGTGCGCGCGCTAGTGTGTGCATGCATTATATCAACCATGCTTTTGTGTTGTTTTTTTTTTTTTCTTTTTTTTTTTAAAATATTTATAATATGCATATTATTATATGAATATAACGTGCTTATTGTGAAAGACAGGTGTTTGAAAATAAAGTTCGTTCGTTCGTTCGTTCTCTCACTCTCTCGCTGCATATTTCTACATAACCATGTGACTATCAGTATATCTGCCTGCACACCTTGGCTGGTCTGTTGAACTGTCTGACTGTCTGTCGCAACCATATTTTTTTTTTTTCCCTATATATGTCTTCCTGTTTGTTTGACTTCCTGCTTGTATGTTCCCTTATCTGATCGTCTCTCGTGAACGCCTACGCGTGCAGACATGGCACTTGATGAGGATGATGATGACGACACACAGGTAGGCTGCAGTCAGGCCTTGGACTGGAGATGGTCTCGGGTCTCTCACTGTAAACGCTAGCATATCTGCCAGTGTCTGAATTAGGCATTGTCTGTCTGGCTTATCTGTAACGGCCTATCTGCCAGTACGTTTCATTGCCTCTCTGTAGTCTGTCTGTATCAGTAATGAAGTCTTTCTAGCGGTAACAGTCTTTCTGTCTGTCTACCTATCTACCAGTTTATGAAACTATAACTGATTGTCTACTTGTATATCGGTATCCCGGGTTTTTTTTTTTTTTTAAAGAAGAAAGGTGCCGGTAGTCACCATGGAGTGTTTTACCAAAAGGTGTCGTTACTCACGACACAGTATCTATTACCGTAGAGCTGACAGGATGATGCTTAAAGAATACCACTACTGGGTAATATTAAGTAGCGGCAGAAACAAACACAAAAAAAGCTCTGTCGGTGTTAAATGTGCCTTTGTCAAGTCCGACAGATACCACTATGGAAACTGTTCAATTATTTTAACTAAACGCCCCCCCCCCCCTCTCCACCTCCCCCCCCCCCCCCAGCTACAGCGACAGCCGTGAGGACAGGACAGTCTAACCAGCGGACACACAGACTACAACAGAACAGCCATTACCTCTCGTTATCTCTGTCCTCCCCGTCGCCACACGTGTCGCGGTTACCTGGTTCCCTTGTCAACTACACACAGTGACGCTGTGTCCTCGCAGATCGATGTCGCCTTGTCCTTCAGCCGCTCAACCTGGTGACCTCCCCCCAACAATCCGCCCTGCTTCTTACACACACAGATACGCACACACACCGACATTGTGCGTGAGGGTGTAGGCGAGTTGGTATGTGCATATGTTTGAGAGTATGTATGCGTGTGTGTGTGTGTGTGTGTTATAAGTCATATTCACTTTTCCTGGCCCATCTACATACTTTAGTCTGGTCAAGGTCAGAGGGATATCACGTTGCACTGTTTTCGTTGAAGAGAGTCTCTCGTAAGACCTAACGTCAGGCTGTGGGTAAGGGGGTTTGGGTTAGGGCCAGTTTTACATATTCTGGGTTCGTTGAAAGCTGTGTAGTATAGAACACGCGACATCAGCGCTGATGTAATTGGAGGCAAGACATCGTGACACCCCTTTGACGTAAAAGAGTCTGAGAAAGCATCAATGGAAGATCAGCCTGTGTGTGTATGGGCCGGGAAACGTGAATAGGACCATGTTATATTTTGTTACGTTATCACAGTCGACGTCCTTGCACACTGGGCATTCCCAAGCGTGCTCAGTCCTCCGATGCAGAAGCCACCCTAGTGTACCTGTAGGCCTACTGACTGTTCCCATGAGAAGTCGGTTATAGTAGTGTTTTGACCTCAAAGACAGCATAGACTTGCTCCATAGAGCTAAACTCTCAGGTCACGCAGTCGTGTTATCGTTCAGAGAATCAACCTAATCCCCCAGCCTAGTCCACATATCACTGAAGATATCGGCTCTGCCCATGCTTCTTCCTGTTTGCATTGGTCCTTTTCTTGCCAGCTGGTCAGCTTTTTCGTTTCCTTTTACTCCTGCATGCCCATGTGTGTAGATCCAGGCGATGGTGGTTAACTACGACATCGAATGTGTATGTGATATACATAAATCAGTTAGTCAGCTAAAAACCGTTAAGACCAAGTGAGACAGAATACTGTGTGCAACAGAAGTAAGCTGGCCTGATTGAGTAAACAGTGCTGCATTTCCATGTGTGGGTCCCGTGGCACCATTGCGAGGGAAAAAAATAGGCCCGCTGGCTCCTCAACACGCGTGTCGTAAGAGTCGACTAATTTGGGGCTTCTTTCGAATTTGGACTGCATCAGCCTGAGAAGCAAGGAACCAACAATCTGCATACAATTAAGTCAGATCTGTTAAACGAATGTGCACGCAACATACAGGTTCAGTTGTCCAGAGGTGGACAAACAACCAGGACTTTCAACAGGATTTGCAGCCAGTGAACGCGAAGAAGAAGAAGTATTGCGTTTTCAAGGTCAATAGTGTAAAGCTGAGAGGTCGAATGTGCACTAAGTTTGCCCTCATATGGCTTCCAGAGAGCGCAAAAAAGGTCCTAGTACAAACTTGGTGCTCCAAGGACTATCCCCAGAGATCACTGAAAAACGACACTCGTCGACTGAAAGACGCAGTCTGTGGAACAGGGGCATGGCCCTCAGAGCACCAGACACACTTATTACTTGGCCAGACACCGAACTGAACTGACTTTCTACCCCACCATGACATCACACAAGCGATAAACTCCCGATGACACAAAGTGCCACCATGTGGATGAGGATCACCCGTGGAGAGGTCCCGGAAACAGCGTTCATTAGTCCATATTTATGACCGGGTTATATTGAGGCCCCTGGCAAGAGCCAGGGTAGGGCTTGAAAAAAAAACGAAAAATTGCATCAAACAAGAGGATGACTTGTGTTACGCTGTCAGGCACCGTCAGGGAACGGTTTTGATAGCATTTACATCTACTAGGTCGTGTATTTACGAGTTTAGTTGACCAACTTTCTCTGTGTGTTTTTATCCAGCAAAATCTGCAGTAATACTTTAGTGGGAGAAGCATTTTTATCTTGAGGCGAGTGTGAAACCTGGTCCGTATATAAGCCAGAGGTTGTCAAGGTTTTGTAGATACACCACAAACACCAGTTTCCTTGAGTTTATAACCGAGCGTATTCTGTTTCAGACAGTCTGACAGCGAGGATTGGCCGACGTACAAGAGGGAGCTTCGCCTGAGTGATAGTACTACCGACCCTGGAAGGATTTCTGGTGTCCCGGTTATAGATCGTTCCAACCCACAGGACGTGTTTCAGGCTATCTTGCAACAGGTAAGCTTTTGAAATTGGATGAAACCTTTTCTGTGAAACAGCTATGTTGTCTTGAGAGTTGAGTTTTCTAGTCATAATGTATACTGTATTCAGCATTCCGCTGATAAAGACTTTAGTCGAAGCCTTCGATTGTACGTAAGCCTCCCTTCCATTTCCGCCTTTGAATCTTCTAGTCACAGTTGTGATGTATTTCTGCTTCTGCCTTTCTTCCCACAGTGGAGTATAGACCCTCAACCAACTCACGCTTTCTTTCAATCTTTCGCTATCGTATGCAGCTCTCCCCATGTCCTCCCCATCCTTTTAACTTAACTCTCTAGCTCAAAGCTGTAACATTCCAGGTACCAGTTTTGTAGTTTTTCCTAGGCGAGAGGAAGCACGTCAACGATCCGGACTCCTTTCGGCTTCCTCCACACCGTTTCAAACTTCTACTAGAAGAGCTTCCCCTCATCTTGGTTGGCTGTTGTTTTTTTTTTTTTTTTTTTCTTGTTTTGACTTTTTGATGGTTGGATGTTTTTTGTGGCTATTGTTTTTATAGGATAAGGTTGCGGACCCTACCCTTACTAGCCTCTTACGACATGCCTGGTATGGTGAGGGGGCCCGGTGACGGTGACACACAGGTGTGTGTGTTGTATTTAGTACTTAGTAAAGCATTGACACCGTGTGTTTTATACGAATCAACGCATATGTGTTGAAAATTGCCCAGGAATACATTGGTTTGTTCTCTGATTCTGTGTTTTATTATCTCCTACAGTAGCTGTGTCCTCCCCAAATAATCGTGTCTGTTTCTTATTGTCTTCTTACTGTTTCTTTATACTAAACAATTTTCTGAGCATGCTATTATTATGTTTTCTCAAAATGTCTTCTTTCCAGTACCAGCGTTTTTTCCCAACCTCTTGCTTAACTTCATTAATCAGGTACCGTCTCCACAATGAGGGTTGGCTCCAAATCGCTTTGTCTCTTGTCCTGGTTGTACACTCTTTCAGACTACTGCCCGTCCATCTCTTGATGTTTTCCTACCACTTGTATCATTGCCTACCTCTTGCTGTCTTGTCGTTGACCTTTCCCTCCAGTATGGTTTTTAAAAGTGTGTTATGTCGTTTAATGTGGCCAAAGTATTTCAGTTGTCTCTTTTATATTTATTTCATAAATTCTCTTTTCATGTGTAGCCTTTCCAGGGCCCCTGTATTGGACTGTTCTTTGTTTCCATGAAATACGACCTATTCTTCTGTATACCCCATCTCTTGTTTACCAATATTCTGCTTGTCCACCTTTCCTAAACTCAGCATAATTTTTAATGTCTGCCATCTTTCCTCCTTCCTAGCGTTTACCTGCTTTAAACTTCAACGGAAAGTTATGGTTGTTTGTCCACTTCTGAACCTTGGTCTAATTCTAGAACTAGGGTTTCTCGTGCACATCCATTTTACAGATCTGCTTATTTGTGTGCAGACTCTTTGGTCCTCTCAAGCAAAAGCACTCAGACTTCAAAGGAAATACTCACAAATAGTCGCCTTTTAAGACATGCTTGTTAGGGGCCAGTGAGTCTCTTGTTTTCCCCTAAAATGAGAACCTGGAATCATACAGGTCAGTTATGAACTAAATTAGCCGTGCTTCGATTATGTGCAGGTTTCAGTTGATGAGTTTGTAGCTTATTAGGTTTACATTAGTTTGTGACCTCTAGAGATATCCAAGTTCTATGAAAATGTAATTTATGTCTTGTTCTCTCTCCTTCTCTGTCTTTGTCTTCCCTCTCTCTCTCTCTCTCTCTCTCTCTCTCTCTCTCTCTCTCTCTCTCTCTCTCTCTCTTTCTCTCTCTTTCTCTCTCTCTCTCTCTGTCTGTCCACATCCCATCTCAGTATTGTGGGATCCTCACCGGTGCTACGGAGCCCGTGCACTGCGCTGAGCTACTTCGGACTCAGACTTGAGTTAGAAGTAGAACGGAACACTGATGTTGATTCGTTGTTCAAACTCCAAACCTCAGCACATTATTATTGTTTATTATTATTATTATTACTAGCTGTACCCGGCCACGCGTTGCTGTGGCGTAATTTGACTACATGGAAAATAGAGAACATAGAAATGTGTCTTCGCTTCACGCTAGCGATGTACAGAGCAACAGCTAAACCACAGCTAATAAAACTGGTTACAAAAGTGGTTGTTTGGTTATCACATGCTAAAGCTGTTTGTATTTTTATAGGAGACGGAAGTAAAGCTACAACTGTACTTGTAAATAACAAAGTAAGTCGTAAAAAAATGAGAAAAGCGGAGGTATCGTTAGTAAAATATAAACAAATTAGGTAATGAGAACTTGAAAATCACGTGTAAAGCTCTTTAAGTTCTCTTAAATTTAAGTCATTACCCCATCCCCCCTCCCCTCGTCCACCCGACTACTGCTCTCTCCCTCTTCGAAGGATTTGAAAATCACTAACTGTCTATATGTGGCGATATTTTTGTTGTTTGCTGTAACTGGACATTGACATCCCTGTCCATCTGGACTAAAATAAGGACAGGAATTGTAAAAGGTAGTGAATAGGGCTAGTGAAATAATTTACCACATCATCCTTCCAAGTACCATTACAACTACTAAAATAATGGTCACTGCTATCTGTGCTTACCATCGAGTAGACAGAGAGTCGTGAGCCAGAAGATTTGTTTCCGCATGGCTAGTGGCTGTCGCCACAGACTGGTCAGGTTAGGATGTATAACTTTCACTTGCCCACAGAAGAACGCCATACCACTTACCATGGCGGTCTTCACATAAGTGCACTATGGTGTAACAGCCCAACCACAACTATTACTGCTGCTGCTACCTTTAAGTGGGTAAAACAGTACTGTGACTTAAACTCTCATCTCAGTAATAGTGTTTTGCCCCCCCCCCCCTCCCCCCCTCTCCCCCAAATTCACCGAAACTCTTTCCACATTGAAGTATTGGGATGAAAAAAAAACAACACTTGAAAAGCAAATGAACACAGGAAAAAAACACACACCATAATTTAGGAAATGAACGCCATTGTAAACAGCACAGCTTAAAATTCCACACAGATGAAATAACTAAATCTAAATGAAAAATAAATGAAAATCTATAAAATTTCAGCGTAACCATGCAATCGCAAATGTTTAACAATGCAATCATAAGTATGGATTGCGAAATGGTCAAATTTTAATTATCAAATGGTTTACCCATTGTACTGTTTTTTTTTTTTTTTTTTTTTTTTTTTTTTTTTTTAATATTAAGGCAACATGGCTAGTGCTGTCACCACGACAGAGGCAGATGAGGATATTATTTTAGTCCGGGTAAAAAAAATTAACTACTGCGGATTCGAACCCAGGTCTACCGCACATGAACCCAGTGTTTCTAACCATTCGACCAAGCAGTCCACTTAATCGGAACAACGAAAAGAGAACACAACTTTAGACATATGTGTCCCTACCACTGTGTCGCGATTAAAACACAATTCAAAACCGAAGGCAATTGTTTTCTCGTAACAGATACTCCAGATATATTAATGAAATAGAAATCGCACGTGTCTAACACGGTTAATGAAGTTAATGTCGCAGTCACTGTCTCCCCCGAACGTCGAGATAGTCCTCGATTGCCCCCCCCCCCCCCCCCCCCCCCATCGAAGGTTGTTTGAAAAAAAAACAGAAAAAGAAATCGTGTTTTATATGGTTATTGTGGCAAATAGTAGAGATAGTCTTGTTTGCTGTACCACGACCTACTCTATGTATTAGTATTAGAGAAGGCGTTGGCTGCACGTAACTCGCCGGCGAATGGTAAATACGGCGCATGCGCAATTACTAACGTGGCTATAATTAGAAATCACTAAAGTTATAAATATTAGTTGCGTATATTTTGGCATTAATTGTGGTCACCTATCTCTAACAGTGACAGGTTGAATTTCAAACCACGACGGTTCAAAATCCGGTATCACAACAAACATATCCTGAAAATTTCAGCTAAATCGGTTCAGTAGTTTCCGAGTCTATAGGGGTGAAACAAACACACAAACATTGATTTTTATATATATAGATTATTATTATGCTTAATGGGGAATGAATATAATAATATACACGAAATAACATGAAGTGTACAAACGGAAACCTTTACAGAAAATGTATGTTCATGAGCTAAGAGGACCCTTACAAAATAAATGACAAAAATATTGGGGGGTTGTGGTGGGGAAGAAAGGGAAAGGGGGTGCTCAAAAGGCCCAAAGCCTGGAAGTCCCGACGCCTATGTCACAGTTCTATCTAGATAAGTGTAAGATCCACAAGGGTACACCTTGACAAAAGGCCCAAGGTACAACACAACTCTGGCATAGTGTAAAGCCGAAGTACCCAGGTGTCATATAGCAAGACCGCGCCGCCAACATCAAAGTGATTTACCTGTCGTAACTCCCCTTGTCCCTTCTCTGCCGCACCGCCGTCTTATCTCTGGATTGTTAGGTTGTACAATAAAGGGGACCGATTGCCGGACCCTCAAGCGACGGTTTCACAGACAGGGCGCCAGCAGACAGAAGAAATTCATGTTGAGCAGTGCACCTTTAGATCGCGATGTTGATTTCATGGCGTTGGTTAGTGCTGTTTATATTTTGTTGTTGACATTTCAACAAATGTAAACAATATGTCAACAAATGTTGATTTTTTAAAGATACTAGCAAAAACACACGAACAAATTGTAGTTTCCAACACGTCTCACAAAACTGGACAAACGCTGGTCTCCAAAAGAATAAATTGTATCATTTTGATCTGTCTCAAAAGGGCAATAGATCTCAGATTTAAAAGCAGCAAATTGTAACTTTGCAAATTGTCTCAAATGATCAGTTGATTGTAAATTTGAAACCAAAAAACTGTACCTATACAGCTTGATTCAAGGGTAAGTGGATCCCAGATTATAAAACCGATAATTTGTGCCTGCTCACAGTCGGCGTCATTAGCTTGGAGGTCCAAAAAAAAACAACAACAACAGTCTGTAATCCCGAAATACCCGGTTCGATTAGCAA